GTTATTATTGTTCTTTCTTTGTAGGGCATCAAAACTTAAAGCTTGCTTGTAATTGATGCCTTTTCAATCAATCTTTGAATTGGTAATTGTAAAAAAAAAAATATATATATGATAAAGGAAATTGATTGAATAAAATTTATTGTGAAGTTCTAATCTACCATCATTTTTGTTCGAAATTACATATTAAATGATGGGAAATCATGCCCAATTTACTATAGACTTATTTCATGTTGGTAAATTGTGACTAAATCAGTTTTACATGGACATTTGAATTTTTTTTTATTTGGTTTGGGTTTTGTGCTTCTGAAGGTTCAACAAAGCTTCATGTTTTTTTTAATCTTGGTTTTTTTTTTGGTTTTTTTTCCCCATTGAAGTTGTAACTAAAAACTAACTTGATTTGGTAAATATATTGTTCTTTAAGATGAAACCACGTCCAACAGCTCAGGGGCAGCAGTGTTCAACAAATAATGCTGTCAATTGTTATATAACAACAAGGGATGTGATTGTCAGAGGTAAAGACAATATTATACATCTAGTGGGGCTCCCACCCAGGGGTGTCAGAAAGGAAACTTTCCCCTTTCCCCCATATCGGACAAGCATTCAACACCTCCTGAAGTTGTCAGACCAAAAATATTTACTTGACAGAGTTTCTGTATTGGCAAAAGCACAATTTACTTACTATTCAAAACCTTAAAATCTTCTCTTTTGTATGACGCAGAAAGGGTGTGTTTCTGCTGAGCAAAAAAACATGTGTTTTTAAACGGTTATTGAAAAACATGAGTTTTTTCCCAGCAGAAACGGGCCTTAAAACAAAAACACGGTTATAAATGTGTTCTAAAAATGCGCATTCGTTATAGGGTTGGCGTTCAGGAAACAGATTTTTTTGGTACAATTTCCAGCTGCAACACAATACTGACCTGTCAATTTGACCTCCCCGTTGGTTCTATCGTACATTCACGGGAAATTTGGGGGCGAAGAAAAAAATTAAACCCACAGGATGACATGCTTTAGCCTTACCATAATTTTTTTTTCATACTCTCACGGTATGTTGTTTACTTTTTTCACAGCATGCGCTGTAGCCCACAGGTATTAAGGTCAACTTCAACTTCCGTAGGTGATCATCATTATAAGCTCCGCCCACCTAGCAATGCTCGTGTTCCCATGTTTTTATTAGTTGCACTTTTCACTAGAAATGCATTCTGAGGGAATTTATCCATTTTAAAAAACTTGTGTTATTAGCGTTATTCAGCAGAAACATGCCTAAGTGCCATCTTAAGGGTAGCCACTTGATAGATTAGGTTTAATTGTTGGCTTTTCTGTAATTCTCTTTTGGCTGTCAAATTACATTGATTATTCGTTTTTGTATGTGTTTTGAGAAAAATAATGGAAATGAAATAAAACTCGCCTAATATCCTTCTAATTTGCAGCACGACCCTGTAAAAGGATTCCAGATCCTTGTGAGGGAGAACACATGACATGCATGGAGGAAGAATCAGAACCTGCTTGTTTTTGTGAAAAAGGTTTTGAGATGCAAAACGAAACTTGCATAGGTGCGTCTTCAAACATTTATAAGTAATAATTAATGACATATATGAGACAAGTGTATTGTTGAAGAGTGGCAGATTCCAGAATTTGTATATTTTATATTATTATTACTACTACTGTTTTTTTATGATTGATAAAGTAAAGTAATATGGCAATTCTTTTTTCTGATTGTAGAGTCACCACCTGTATTTGAAACCTCTGTCGCACCTTCAGGTACTTATACATACAATTTTTTCGTAAACCTATCATGAGGACTAATATGTTTGATTGAATTGATGTTTGCCCTACCTGACGTGTTATAGTAATGAATGTTTAGTGAGTTATTGGAACCAGGACCTCCAGATAAACTAACCTGGTGTCTAACCACTCTACCACCGAGCTTGCAGTTGGTGGCTAGTAGGTACTGCATTGCTATTCTGATGGCCGTCAGAAGAAATGATATGCAAGCATTTGGAAACGTACTGAGCATTCGGTACTATAACACGTCATACGTTGCCATGTTCCACATTACTACTACACTTTTTTATGATTGATGAAGTAAGGTAATATGGCATTGTTTTCTTTGATTGTAGGGACGCTACCTGGATTTGCAACCTCTGTCGAACCTCCAGGTACTTAGATGCAATTTTTTTAACGTAAATCTATTATTTTAATCATCTGTTTACTGTTACATCTTCCGTTTTTTAAAAGTAGCTAGTGTTTTTATTGAATTAATTTTATTTGTAAAATAAATTTGGAAATCATTATTATCAATTACATTATTATTTATCATCATTCATCATTAATAGTACCAGCATTAAAATCATCATTTGTTTCTCTTTCATAATTTTTACTTAATAATTACTGTATGTGGTTTCATTTCTTTTCTTTTTTTTTGTTATTAATAATAATAAGCACAATGTTAGTAGTAATAGTGGGCATTTTGATGGTGTTTTTTGCTTCAGGAGAAATAATACGAATTGATGTTTGCCCCACCTGACGATGTTATAGTAATGAATGCTCAGTAGTTCCCTAAATTTTCACAAGTGATTGGGGGGGGAATTGAACCAACGACCGCTAGATAACTAGCCTGGTACCTTAACCACTCGACCACTGCTTGCACTTGGTGCCTAGTGATTAATCTGATCCGTAAGTAGCAGCATGTACTGCAATGCTATTCCTATGGAGTGTTTGGCGTCCATAGAAATAATACGCAAGCGTTTGGGAACGTACTGAACACGTCAGGTAGGGCAAACATCGATTCATAATAGTGGGCATCATGTAGCACCTCCTACAATAATTAGCAAGGGAACTATCCAAAAAACATGCTTATAAATAACTATTAATTTTTGTTAACTGTGTGTTAATTAACTTTCACTTTCTTATTTGTTCTTGTCTTTATTCATGAGCCATTTTGTTAGCTCCATCGTTTGATAGTTGTTGGACTCACATTATAATATGTGTGCCATTGATGCAACAAATATTCTTGGTATTTTCTATGCACCCTCATTGTAAACCTATTTACATATCACCTCTAACTCATGTTAGTATTCAATTTTTAAAAATACCCAAGCTTGCAATTTAATCAATTTGCACTTGTCTGAATAGCCTGGTGGAGGAATATGAAAACAAGTTTTTTATCTAGTAGAATAACTCAAAAAATCTTCTCCATATGTCTTTATTGATGTTATTTTCAACTTGCAAGAATACGCTTGCATGCAATTTGATGAAATGTTTGCACCCGTTGAGGTCTGAACAACCCTTTGGAGGGATTGGCATACATCTGAAACAAATATATTTAATTAGGAGAATAACTCAGAACAACTTACCTATATACAGTATGTCTTTATTGATATTATGTTCTGCTTATATATGCAACCAGTAATCCTGGAATTTACTATGCACTCTCATTGTAAACTATTTGCATATCACCTGTAACTCGGATGACGTGTTCAATTTGCAATAATACTCAAACTTGCAATTTGATCAAGTGTGTCTATTGGTATTTCTGTGCTTGTTTGTACTAACATATTCAACAACTGGTGATGATTTTCATGTACTGCAAATCTATTTCCTAATAAAAATATTTGTGAAGTTGAACATTTTTTACATGTTCTCAATCATTACTTCCATAAACAGAAATTTGCCTATGACAAACTTAATTATTTTAAACTACAAAAATGAGCTTTACAGATTTGTTTAGGGGCATCTTTTAGAGTCACATACCAAGCATTTATTTTTTAATTTAAAAATCCTTAATACTGTACCTTTGATATCAACAAAATTGCTATGTTTATGTATGCCTATCTAACAACAGGGGGGTGGGGGGGGGTGCACAACAGTTTCTGAATAAGTGAGTAGCACATAACATTGATATGCATTGAAATTTTAAAAATTTAGTGGCAAAATGGTGGGGGGTGCACTAGCTGACGTTCTCCCCTACTATGTCCCCTGCAGAACAATATTATTCCCAACCATATTGCCTCTCTTTTCCCTAAACCCCCTAATTATTATGATACATGGTTCTCAGTTAATAACTTTGATATAGCATCTTGTACATCTTAACTCTGGCAACTTCCTATCCTCCTTACTGGTCCCAGACTTTGAGAAAATTTCTCTTCTGATTTAAAAAACAAACTGTCTTTACAAAGCTTCAAATATACAAAGCAGAGCTTGATTCAGGTATATGGTGAGTAAACCTTTTATTAACTCTTTCCAGTCTGCCACATTACCATTGCCTGAGGCTGTACCAAAGCTAGGAAATTACATCATCTACATTAAATGTCAGGTTTTTACTGGGCGCAGGCATTTTATTTGGTCTACGGTAAATACAGGAGGTCCTCTACAGAAATACTCCTACATCACACTCCAAAAATCCTATAGAGGGCAGCCTAGCTATAAAATAATTATCATGAAAGCTATACAGGGCGTATTGTACGACGCCCCTCGGTATGGTTGAAGAGGGCGTCCTCACGACGCCGTAGGACTGGAAAGGGTTAATTATATTGATCTACATTATGTCAGTGTTCTCCTTTAGTCCACATCATTATTTTTTTTGTCTCTCCTTCAACTTGGCCTCCTCTGTACTCTTGAACATGTTATTTTTTTATGACAATGTGGTTCACTTGTTCTGTTTCATTTGATTTGTGTTCCTGAGTATGCACCATAAAACCTTGAATTGAAGCCCTGGGCTTCTTTTTTTTTTTTGCGAACTTTAGATGGGCTTCTTTTCGAGATGGGCTTCTTTTCGGGACTACTTTTGCAAAGTAAAAAGGGGGCGGCTTCTTTTCAAAATGAGGGCTGTAAATTTTGTGAATTTGTACTATAAGACAATAAATATGGCCACTGTAACATCAATCTCTATCATGGAGTGTATTTAATTGACATTAAATCACCTAAACTACTATATAAACCAAGCTTGTTTTTTATTTATTCTGTTCTTTGAAATTCATGTATAATGTACTGTATATACTGTACTATCTCAAAAAGAAGCCTATGTTATATTGAAAGGAAGCCTATGGGCTTCTTTTCGAATCAAATTTTGCAAACTAAAGAGGGGGCTTCAATTCGAGATTGGCTTCATCTCAAGATTAAGCCCATTGGGCTTCAATTCAAGGTTTTTTGGTATATTGTTTTGTGAAGAACCAATCAATCAAATCAAATCACTATGCTCTTTTAAAGTCAGGCTCCGGAGGAAAAAAAATTGTTGATATGTTGTAGAACTGATTTTTCTAAGACAGAAAAAAGTTGTTTGACGAAAAACTGGGGAACGGTGAATGAGATACAGATTTTGGAATATTTAAAAACTGGGAGAAAAAGGGGCGTAACTGCCCATTTTTACACCTTATTCCCCCAGTTTTTAAATATTAAAAACATATCTGCACCCATGTGTGCGCAATTTCTACACTGACAATGGTGTTCGACCCTCCTGAAACATGTCTGTTTCATAGAGCCTAGCAATGTTTAAGGCAGGTGGTGGCACCAACAGGGGGG